TTCCATATCCTTCATGTCAATCTTCATTAAAATATAACATACTTTCTCATTTGCGTTTGTCAAGTTTTAAAATTTATTACATAACTAAAGCTGTTTATCATTTTCAAGAAAAAAAATTCAATTTCTTTTTTTTTTCCGTTATGACACTTTAAACAATTTGCCTGCAAGCTTGAAAAAGCATGACAAACTATGTGTAGCTTTGATTGCTCAAGCCACAAGACGTCTGCCATTATTAGGAAAAAATGAGTGCATGTTTACAACTGAAAAACAAGGTTAATCTATTTGTTATGCAATGCAACGCATCATAAAAACAAGCTTCAACATACAAAGAAATGAAGTATTTGCTGTGCTGCACATAAAAAGATACTGATAACAGTTTTTTCAAATTTCACAAATATTTCTGTTATGTTTTCTCCTATCAATATGATTGAGAGACAATGACTATAGTGTAATAATGTTTATTTATAGAAGAATGTTTGGATCTAGATGTTGAACATTTGAACTATTAGTAACAGATGTGATATATATATACTCTTGTTTAAAAAAATAAATACTACAAATTTATACATAATGCTAAATGGCAAACAACAATAACAATGAATACTCTATATTTACATCTACTATTTTCCATTGAACTGATGCAATTTTGTTTGGAGTCTAACTTAAAATACACACCATTGCAAGCCAGCAAAACATTAAAGGAACATGGGTTTCAACATTTTTTAGGGTTGGAGGTTTAGGGTTTTGAATATATCTAAATAGTCTAGAAAGTACTAGAAATGTACAAAAATCGCATAATTCCTTCAAAATAACCTCAAACTAGAAATTTTACTCACTATTTCTGTATATGTCTTTTTTATATATTGCAGTTTCTCAAGAAAAGACGAGTCATCATTTTAACTTTCAAACGCAGATAATTCTGGACACACATTTTTGTGTAAAAAAAACCTGTATCAGACATTAAGGTACGATTGGTCAAACTAATGGTGCACCTGTCCCTTTAATATTTTTGGGTGTTTTTCTATCAAGGTTCTATCTAGAGTTATGTATCAAACCTTGAACCACCAGGCTCATTTTAAGAGGAAAATCTCTTTAACCCATGCTGTTTCAGGAAATAGGAAAATTTATGTTAACAAAAATTTTTATATGTAACTCATTCATAATTTTGTCATTTGTTTTTTTTGATATCCTGATTACAAGGTCAAGGCTGTAGTGCAAGCCAATGTGAGGCAAACAGTGTTCTGGGCGGATTTATAATACACAATTTTAAAGAAAAGACACATAAATTTGGTTGTTGTTTCAAGAATTTGGTCAAATTTGTCCTACTTTTCTTCACCTGATCCGGCTTATTAGAATGGAATATCATGCAGTGTGCAATGAGGGCTGGGTATCGATTAACAAATTGAATTTTGTTATTAATGGCTAGCGATCAATAATCGATGAATAATCTAAATGATTCAATTGAAAAACCCTGTAAATACTAAATTAAAATATGCCAAAATTTTTAATTTCATGGGTAATTTTTGCATCATAGAAGTATATTCTTGCTTTGATTTATTTTGTTTTATTATAGTTTATTGTGGGTATGTTATGTGCTGAAGTGAATGTGCTATATGGAAGAGATTACTACTTGTTAACGGGTACAGTGGAGAAAATGTAACTTTAACCTATAATGATTAGGAATTTTCTTAACAATGATAATCTATTATTTTGATCATTTTACCAAGCCATAGTCATTAGTCTCCTTTTATTTACAAATGTTGAAGGATTTTTAAACATAACCAACCTGTATCACACAGACCTCAATTTATTGACTCTTTCGTATGATTGAACATTTTTTCTATGTCAGATCTGCAACATTGGCCTGAGGTCAGCTATATCTGTGCTGGGATTTCATCCCCAAAATGAGCAAGCCTAACTCAATGAATTACTGCAGCAATCTTGAGTTAAATATAACGAATAGCCAATTCAGAACAAATATCATATGAGAATAAGGAAATTCAAATTGGTAAAATGTTTAACCTTGGCCAAAACTGAAATGCTTGGAACAAGAATAACTCATTCACAGTGATAATGCAATAAAACTTTTTGAAAAATTAAACGCTCTAGGCACATTACAGTCTATTTCTTCACATGGAAGTCTGTGATGGGTTGATTTATACTAGCACATGAATTAAGGAGAACTATGTTATAAAAGGGTAGAATCATTTTAAAGATGCCCTTCCTTATTTTCATCTATTCATATATTAGATTTTTGGATGGCTTATACTCTTATAAATCGAAAGTAGAGGTGTCACTAATGATTGAGAAAAATACCAGTTCGTCTCACGAGTCAATTTTACTGACGAGTGACTGATCAAGAATGATCAAATAGTCTTTTTTGATTATCCAGTATCAAGGCAAGAATATAATTGGATAAATTCCTTAATTCTAATGCATCAACTACTCAAATACTTTGGTATTCCTTTTTCCTACCAGCAACAGGAATGATAATTTTTCAATTTCTTTTTGTAGAAATAAAATGAATTACTTTAAATCAGTTCCTTCCAAATATATTTAGCTCATGATAACAAATTTCGAATATTTGGTGAACAAACATGGAGACTAAATTTTGCTATACTAAGTGGATTTGAGTTTATTATCTTCTCCCAGTTTGTTGTCCACAAACATTTCTTTAGATTAAGAATACATGATAATTCATTATAAACCCCAATAATCAGAATTTTGCTGGATTTTAGTCTAAAAAATGTGGAAAGACATCTTTAATGTATTAAAATGGCAGCACCATATAGAAATTTACAGTAGCAAGATATTAAATTGACTATGAACAGTATGGGAGGGATATAGTACCCCTTGGGTTTGAAGTGACCAAAACAAAAATCATTTGACTAATTTTGGGTAAGTAAGTTTGAACAAGCCTCAAAAAAAAATATATGTGTTCTGATTTTAGCCTGGAAGTTTGGGAAACTCCCCCAGCCTTAACTATACTCATACTGAACACCAAAATCAGACACAACAACCAGACAAGAGTTCAGACAGGGCATCAGACATCTGCCTAGTCAGTAGAGGTGAGACAAGGACAACTGCCTTACGCTAACATTCTTAATGCTGGTATTCTGTGATTTGTTTGTCCACTGCAATAACGTGTGTCTGACTGTAGATGGTTTACGTTTGTCTATAGTATGTGAAGTAAATTGTTTATTAAATGTCTAGTCGTCTGTTGTTTTCTGTCATTGAAGAGTATTTGATTGAAGGTATATAAAGTAGTTCAATGAGTCTAGTCTTGTCGTATAATTATTGATATCAATCAATGTCTAATTAGCAACACAACCAATAGGTCAGTTTTAGTAAAGATTTCAATCTCGAAAGCTTATAATGATTTTTACAACTTTACACTCTGGCACATAGGCTACTTGAGCTAATGATATGGGCAATGTCATGCAGTGTGCAATGAGTCATTTTCACATGGATAACAACTTAGGTTTAGATCCTTTCTACCAGCTGGTCCTCGACTATGATCTTTTTGCAGATTATCTGTACCCACTTAAATTTGGGTTGACTGTAATAAGGAAAGATAACTCCAGTGAATAAGGCCTTCTAGCAACTATTTTAACAATAATTCTAATATTTAATATTCGTCCATGCACCTTGGCCTCCAAAGTTTTCAAAATCAAGCCAAAATTATGTGGAACCTTTGTGGAAGTTTCTATATGCATGTTGATGTTTAAGGTGATTAGTAGAAAGAAAATGGCTACCAAAATTGTAATTTTCACGATGAACAATTGACCTACATTCCCATCAGACTTTTTGAAATTGAAAAGAACATTCCAAATAATAGTAATTTCCCTACAGTTCATAGAATTTTACAATTGATAACTTAATAACAGTACGAACTAATAAAATGATGCTCTACATAATACAATTGCATTATATTGAATATCGTGTGCCATTGTCATTGTTTTACCAATGCTGCTGTTTCACAATCAAATCATAATTGAGTTTTATAAAAATCATTCAAAGACTAGATTTGCATTAGGTCAAGTATTTCTTGTAGTTTTGCATAATTATCTGCTAAAAGAAAATGTCATAAAAAACATACAATGCAATTCATGCTGAAAACATCAATGTTATTTGTATAATGTCAATGAAAAAAATTTTTTTTTTACTACTGCTTCAGTGGTGGAACCATCTGCCAAAAAATTGTAGGTACAAATAGGGGATAGACTGACATAATGAATTAACTAAGGCAGTGCCGTAACTATGCAACAGAATGTCTGTATTATCCAATAAAATTCATAAAACTAAGTAATAATTCATAAAACTAAGTAATAATTCATAAAACTAAGTAATAATTCATAAAACTAAGTAATAATTCATAAAACTAAGTAATTATCCTTAAAACTATGTATTTATTAAACAATACTTAAAAATATTTCAATTATTACATAGTTAAATGGATTTATCACATTATAGAGGGATTCTGTTGTATAGTTATTACATCAGGTAAGTCCACTGATGAACAAAGACCCTTATTGGCCAAGTTTGAGAAGCTAAATTTTATGTGTATTCTAAGAGGTAGTGTCTCTTTAAAGGTCAAAAGATTAAAAAAGATAATTAAAAGTACATTTTAAGATGGAAAAATGCCCTACATTATCATTGATCTGCACTAAATTTGACATCAATATTACAGTTTGTTTGATATAAGATAAAATTTCATTGGGCTATTAGTACCTATTAATGTGTATTATCATCAATTATTTAACTTAAAGGGAGATGTTCCACATTGATTTGACCAATTGTACTTTAAGTCTCTGAAATGGGGAATTTTTAGCTAAGCTAATCAGTGTTCACAACTCACTGTCGAAATTTGAGTCTTCAAATCAATGTGTGTCTAGAATTATTCGCGTTTGAATGTTAAAATGACGTCATTTTTTAAGACTGCCATATATAGAAAAGACAATAATAAAGGAAATTTTGCATTTGAGGTATGTTTGAAGGAACTATATTTCTTGTACTTCCCAAATCAACTCCTGAAAATGTTGAACCAGTCCCTGTAGAAAATTCCAAGAATTCCTGGACATGATAAATGAATCAGGGACACCTTTTGCTTCTATTTGCATCATTTTGATTCCTAATCTAACATTTGTGGCTGCAATGTAACAATTTATAGAAATCTAGAATAGCATATAACAAAACACAAGACAATATTATGGAATATAACACATTTCTTTAAGGTGGGGCACATAACGTTTCAACACAATATACACCTGTTGTCATCAGAAGGTAATGTCCCTCTTAATCTCTTTATTGTTTCTTGTTGGTATATATTTTTTTATGTTTTATTCTCTTGCCATTACATCTGATGACGACACGTGTATATTGTGTTGTGCCCAACCTTATTAAAGAAGTGTGTTATATTCCATAATATTGTCTTGTGTTTTGTTATATCTGCTCCTCGCTTCTATATCGTTTAAATCTTATAGAAAAGCTCACAATATTGTTATGTTATTATCCACAGTATAGACCTATTCAAATCAAATACATAACTTGAATGCCTTCGACATGCATGAAAAGGCCAGAAAATTTTTAAAATGGGGGGACTACCTTAAGTGAGATATTTCACATTTATAAATCATGGCCACCCACATATGCAAAATAACGACCAATAAACATAATTATTTGCAGAACGTGATAGATTTGTTTGCCATAATGCTAAAATATTCTGTCATGCCACCATTCAAGTAACTCAGTAAAAGGTTTTATAAGAGATACTTTCTTATAGAAGCACTGGCCTAGGTCACAAGTAGGGACTATAGATTTCAGCATTGGAATACATCAGTTTGATAGAACTGGAGAGATTTACAAGATAAACAAATAATTCAGAAATGCAAAGCAATTGTTTCAGGGAGTTAATGAAAGGGGATCTAATCTACCATGGACAAGAACATTACTCAGATTTTTATTCCTTTTGTAAGCAGTCAGCAAACGTTTAGTGCAGATGTTAGGGAATTCATCCTGAATTGTAGAATTGTAGGTGGCAACGAAAGGTATAAATTGATTGACAGACGGAATAAGTTAAAAATGGACCATAATGGCAGGATGACTAAGCAACAGTGTGCCAGGTTTACGTCCAAGGGGGCGAAATATCTGAGATTGCTTGAATTCCAAACCTAGCTAGTTATGAGATTTTTGCCTGAGAACTTGCTTTCGAGGCTGTGAGGAGGGACTGCTGTCCCCCTTTGGCTCCGCTACTGCTTATCAAATTTGGAAAAATTATGTGCCTCAATTCACCAAAAATCAAATTTACTTACTGTTTTAATGTAAACAAAAGAGCTGTTACTAAAACATTATAACTTAAAAGTACAGTAAATACAAATAAACTTTGGGGGGGACACATACTATTAAGTAAAAGTCAACAAAATTTTGCCCTACTTATTTGACCTAAAGAAAGCCAGTGAAAGAGATAAGGTCATTTATACTAACTCAAGCTAAAAATAGAATGGCCATTGTAAGGTGAAGGATAGTCCAGTGGTAGATAAAAGTACAGAAAAGATGCCACTCAAAGCCACAGTATTTTTGATCAAAAAGATGTCTTAAGACTCCGTTAGACCATTGGCACCTGTCTTAGAAACAGGATTTTTTTTTAGCTGAGCCAATCACTAATAGTGTTCACAGATTACAGCCTTCAAATCCATATGTGTGTCCAGAATTATCTATGTTTGAAAGTTAAAATGACAACTCGTCTTTTCTTGATACTCTACGATCTGCTCCCCTGAATTAATAATTAATAGAGAAAAAGTGCAGTATTTGTACTTCTGAAGACATTCATTCACGTCCCAAATCAACTCACTTATCTATAAAGAAATTCTCAGGTATCTCGTCAGAAATGTCACTGCCATTTCATGTGGGCGTATTATTACCTTACAGTATATACTATAACTAACAAACAGTCATATGGACAATAAAATCTCGTAACTCGTCAGAACTGTCACTGCCATTTCATGTGGGCGTATTATTACCTTACAGTATATACTATAACTAACAAACAGTCATATGGACAATAAAATCCACCATACATCAACTATTCCAATAACAAAAAATCCTCACTGTTCAAATAGTGGTCAATACATTAATTGTAGAGCAATATATAGATACCATAGTACTGTAACACTGATATACGGTCTTTACTATAATTAACAATTAGTCATATAGACAATAAAATACACCATCATAATAACGAAAAATCCTTACTGTTCAAATAGTGGTCAATACATCAATTGTAGAGCGGTATATATATATACCATAATACTGTAAATTGTCTATACTATAATTAACAATTAGTCATATGGACAATAAAATCCACTATTATAAAATATTCCAATAACGAAAAATCCTTGTTGTTAAAATAGTGCTCAATACATCAATTGTAGAACAATATAATATACCACTGTTAAAATAGTGCTCAATACATCAATTGTAGAGCAATATAATATACCACTGTTAAAATAGTGCTCAATACATCAATTGTAGAGCAATATATATATATACACCAATATACAGTATTTACTATAATTAACAATTAGTCATATAGACAATAAAATCCACTATTATAAAATATTCCAATAACAAAAAAAATTTACTGTTAAAATGGTGTTCAATACATCAATTGTAGATCAATACAGAAATATTAAAACAGAACCTAAAAAAACATGTTGAAATTCAGGCTATGTATCTTCAGGCAACTGAAATATTTCAACCTGTGTTCCTACTGAAGATGAATGAGTATTCCATATTAATAGAAACAAAGGAAGGTCCTCATAAGGCCTTAAATTATATGACATACTTTGTTTGAAACAACCTTTGGGTCATATTGATCTACTTTTCTACAACTCACTGTACTTACTCAACAAGGCCGGCTAGACTATTATTGTAATATCAGTAAAAGTCGAACAGCTCATATTTCGCAAAATATTAATGATACAAAAATAAAAATGGTACCATTAAAGAGTAAAATCACGCCTCTTTTCTTTTATCCCAATATCTTTGCTGAACCTCGAAGGCTAATACCATGATATGCTATATTACATGAGTGGTATATGCGGAAATGTTTGACCGACATTTTTGGTCTCACGACATAGCAATCGTGTATATACATGGCACACGAAATAGTTCAAATTCAGATCCTTAACAACAGTTTTCGGACATGTCAAGTCATAATAAATGGCAAAAGTATGTCCTGTAATATTGTCAAACATGTCTACATCAATTTTATACAAAAATATTACTTACTTTTTCTAATAAATCGTCATCAAATTGACCTAAATCTATAGTATCTGCTTGTTCGCCGCAATATAACGGTAAATAGCTAGTGTATTATGGGAAACCAAGTTTATAAAGTCCTTGAGTGTATATAGTGAGTGGGCGGATCCACAGAACTATGTACTATTAATAGCATATTATACAGGTATATGGCGGATCTTATATATGGGTCGAGGTAGGCTATAATTTAGGGGAAAGATGGGCATAATATAGATATGTATTCACAAAAGTTTGAAATAAAAATAATGTACCGTACTTGAATTTAATGCGTTATTGGAGCATAAAGTCCATGCAAATATTCACAAATGCAAGGCCAGGCTAAAATTATCGATTCAATATGCCTATAGTAACCTATATGAAATGAAATGAAGTTTTATGCCCTACTTTTTCCACCTAATTGAGATAGTAAAGGCGGACAATGTCATGCAGTGTGCAATGAGGGAAATAGTGTCAAGGCAGTGGCATTGGCAGTGGCCTATTCTTTTTTCGATTTTCAAATGTCGAGGCATCTTTTAATGTTCCTTAGACTCAGAAACGATATTTTTTGATAAGACAATCAGCATTAGTGTCCAGAGCTCACCGTCGAAGTTTGAGCCTTCAAATCCATGTGTCCAGAATTATCGGCGTTTGAAGGTTAAAAGACGAGTTCTTTTTCTTGAGGCGCCGCCATATCATATAGAAAAGACATCTATAGAAATAAGAAAAGAAATTTCAAGTTTGAGATATTTTTTTTAAGGAATTATGCAATTTTTGTACATTTCTAATACATATACTCAGCACTCAAATCAACCCCCGAAAATGGTGCACCTGTCCCTTTAATACAGTATAAATTGGACTTTGTTTTCGTCCTACTTTCTTTGCCATCTGGCAAAATATTAATGTCGAAGGACAGCCTTGAGCATATACGAGCCTTCATTTATTATCCCATCCAACAGACTCGAAAATTTTGGATGGTCAAACCGCAGCAATGGAACGTGCCTCAATCTCGTGGCAAATGAATATATGTCCCCCTCCCCTCCCTGAAAAATATAGATGACTTACATGTCATGTTGTGTCACATATGTAGTCGAGGCCACCTTGAAAAAGTTTGTGAAATAACGTATGTATAATTTTGCACTATAACGAGTAAAAGTAGTTTATTTCAATATTCAATGATTTATCAATTAAATAGCAACAGATATTTGATGAACAGTACATTAAATTGATCCAAGGCCAATTAGATAAAAAATATAATGACAATTTTTTCAGAATTAAAGGGGTAATTCCTGTAAATTTTTCTCCAAAACCATGGTAGCATAATTCTGTTTAGGATATGTTTCTATGACCACAAAAAAAAAATTTCGGTCGTGACATATAGTACATTCTATTATCAAAATTTTTCTTATCTTATTGTTGCCACCAAATAAAACTTTTGTTCACGCCAGTCCATGGATGGGTTGTTACACTCTTAAAGGGATAGTAGCGCCATTTTTAGGGTTGAATTTAGTCTTGAATATATGTAAATAGTTTTCAGAATTACAAGAAATGTACAAAAATCACATAATTTCTCTAAAATACTTCAAACTAGGCATTTTGCCCACTATTTCTATATATGTCTTTTCTATATATTATCACAGAGTATCTTAAATTGACGAGTCGTCATTTTTTACATTCAAACAGACACAGATAATTCTGGACACACATGGATTTGAAGGCTCAAATTTCGACGGTGACCTGTGAACATTATTACTGATTAGCTCCGATAAAAAAAATCCAGTTTTTGAGACTAAAGTATGATTGGTCAAAAAATAGCCTTCTTGTCCCTTTAAGGGTGTTGCTTAATACATAAGTGTTTTATGTACACGCCACGATGGGTGTATATAAAACGTTACTCCTTACGCCAGCTGGTAAAAATACTGATTACATCCCAGTTCATGTTATATAATAGGCTACACTTTGTTCTTTAACACTCGTATTAGTGTTGTATTACACTTTTGACCCACTATTCAGATGTTGATAATGTATGGGGCCCACAATTATCCGCATTTGAAAATTAAAATGACGAGTCGTCATTTCTTGAGTCTTTAAAATACATGGAAAAGACATATATAGGAATAGAAAATGGAATTCCTAATTTGATTTAATTTTCTTGACAATGGGTGCACTTTAATTTGGCATACATCATTGGCCTTAGATGTGGTCAAAGGGAGAGAATTTATATTATTGTGGTTCGCGTAGACAGGACTCACTCCACTAATTCATTTGCTATCTCTTCCCATGTTAAAACACGAAATTCAACCTTCTATAACTTTTTCCAGAAATCTCGTTGAAAGCTTTCCAACATGTCGAATGAAAGCCTGACCAATTCTCAATGTCTCCTAAAAAATTCATTATATGATGACCAGGAAAATTTTGAGTTACTAAAATTGAAAGTAGACTACTACCGGTTATACTCATCCGCTAGAGTTTGGCACTTCACAAAACGACTATTTTTAGAATTAGCCTTCCAGACATCAAATTCCAAATCTAGACCAAATTTTACCCAAAAATAGGCAGGCAAAAACCCCAAAAGGGAGAGAGAAAGAAGATTTCTAAAAATAGCCTGGACTAGCCTGGACTACATACAATCATTTGCATAAAATGTTTTAGTGGAGTGAGTCCGCATGTACTTAAAGGACTCACTCCACTAATTCATTTGCCATCTCTTCCCATGTTAAAACACGAAATTCAAACTTATACAACTTTTTCCAGAAATCGTTGAAAGCTTTCCAATATGTCGAATGAAAGCTTGACCAATTCTCAATGTCTCCTAAAAAATTCAATATATGATGACCATGAAAATTTTGAGCTACTAAAATTGAAAGTAGACTACTACCGGTTATACGGACTCACTCAGTCTAGGCTATTTTTAGAAATTTGATGTCTGAAATTGCATTATCTTTCAGATTTGGTGAGATGATGAGAGACCTAAAGGCGGAAGGCTAATTCTAAAAATAGTAGTTTTGTGAAGTGCCAAACTCTAGCCTTCTGCCTTTAGGTCTCTCATCATCTCACCAAATCTTACAGATAATGCAATTTCAGATATCACATTCGAAATCTAGACCAAAAATTACCCAAACATAGGCATCCAAAAAGCCCAAAAGGGAGAGAGAAAGAAGATTTCTAAAAATAGCTTGGACTACATTCCTATTCATTCATTCATTCATTCATTAATTAATTCATTCATTCATTCATTCATTCATTCATTCATTCATTCATTCATTCATTCATTCATTCATTCATTCATTCATTCATTTCCATTGCATTCTCTAGCTCTCCCCCAATGTGCATAAAAGTGAATTCTGAGCACTTCTTTATTTTGCGGAAAAGTGCCAAAAAATCCGGTTTTTCATGGACAAAACTAAAATGCTCAGTGCTTCCAAAGTAAGGCAGATATGGAATCGCGGTTTGTGGCATTGCAAAGCTAAGATTTCAAACTAGTACCTGTCAAAATTTCATCATCCTATCTCATCTGGTTTGACCGTGGTGAAGCTGCAAAATTTGGATTTTCAAAAAAGTCAAAATTGGCCAATTTCAACAGGTAGCTACCTGTGGTACCAAAATCCATTTTTGGGTCGAATTATTTTGGTCTCGGAAATCGATGTAACCCGGTTTTTTGGACTCGGTGCTTCTCTAGCTCTCCCCCAATGTGCATAAAAGTGAATTCTGAGCACTTTTTTTTTTGCGGAAAAGTGCCAAAAAATCCGGTTTTTCATGGACAAAACTAAAATGCTCAGTGCTTCCAAAGTAAGGCAGATATGGAATCGCGGTTTGTGGCATTGCAAAGCTAAGATTTCAAACTAGTACCTGTCAAAATTTCATCATCCTATCTCATCTGGTTTGACCGTGGTGAAGCTGCAAAATTTGGATTTTCAAGACTAGACTATTATTGTAATATCAGTAAAAGTCGAACAGCTCATATTTCGCAAAATATTAATGATACAAAAATAAAAATGGTACCATTAAAGAGTAAAATCATGCCTCTTTTCTTTTATCCCAATATCTTTGCTGAACCTCGAAGGCTAATACCATGATATGCTATATTACATGAGTGGTATATGCGGAAATGTTTGACCGACATTTTTGGTCTCACGACATAGCAATCGTGTATATACATGGCACACGAAATAGTTCAAATTCAGATCCTTAACAACAGTTTTCGGACATGTCAAGTCATAATAAATGGCAAAAGTATGTCCTGTAATATTGTCAAACATGTCTACATCAATTTTATACAAAAATATTACTTACTTTTTCTAATAAATCGTCATCAAATTGACCTAAATCTATAGTATCTGCTTGTTCGCCGCAATATAACGGTAAATAGCTAGTGTATTATGGG